TTGTGTGCATATATCACAACTTTTTGATACATTTATCTGTTTGGGGGATTTAAGTTGTTTCCACACTCAACATACAAATGATATTAAAGTTTCTGTTTTGTATCAGTTGACCCATGACCAAAATAAGTTACATGACCTACTTCAGATGCAGTGTAAGAAAGTCCATGCAAGGGACAACTAAGGACAAATTAAGGAAAGGGGAACAAATCAGATTACTGCAGTCAATTCAGTACTTACTTCCATGCATTAAGCATTCCATTCATGCTAAAAGATGGCATTAAGCAAGAAAAATCTCTACTTTTCAGAGTTTTTCTCCCCTTGAACTGAAGTCATCCATTCCTGATATAGATTAGCCTGCTGACTCAGAACAAATTCCAAAAACATTAATAAATGGAGAAATCACTTAATATGAAGTAAGCTATTGTTATTCTATAGTAAGCGGCTACTTGTTACAATACACGATTAGAATAATCAAGGAAATTTTAGAAAAGATGATTATATTGTAATGTTAGCTATCAAGTGCTATTATAAAGTCATAATAATATAGAACTGATTCTAGTAGATAGTTAGGTCTGAATCAAGTCCAAAACTGCATTTATTGCCTTAGTACTTGACAAAAGGATCATTTTAAATCAGGAAAAAGTAGTATCTGTATGTATTTATTGTGCATATATTATTAAGCTACCATTATTTGTTCATAAGCTAAAGTTTCCTAAGCCTTTGATACAGATCTGACACAGTTTAAGGCACTAAGGACAGAGTTATAGACCTAAAAGTGAAAGTTCCTGTTCACTTGGGGCTGATGTTTTAATGCAAGGAGATGCAAAATACACAGCCCTTACCTAACAATATATATTCAATATATATAAAACAATAAAATATATTGATAGTAATAATTGCCATTAGTGCAATATAGGGACTACAATAGAGAAAGATTTTGTGTGTATAAAATGATGATGGAAGTCCTCCCTTAAGAGGTAACATTTGAGGAAAGAGAAAATGAAAGGAAATTAGGTATGACAAGAGAAGAATTTTTTGGCAGAAACAATAGCTGTTACAAGGCAACGAGGCAAGAACTAGTTTGGCATGTTCCAGCAACACCAATGGAACCAGGGGGCCATGTAAAGAGTCAGTACAGGGAGCAGAAAATCACAAAGGTGCAAAACCTAGGGAAGGGCAAGGTGGTGTAGACTCAGAAGCCAGGAGAAGGGGGAGAGAGGCAACCAAAAGAAAGGTTTCAGCAGAGAAAATATCTGATTTTGTTTATAGATCACACTGACTACAAGTGGAGAAAGGACAGTATGAAATAAAGGTGGCGGCAGAGAGGTTGATGAGAAGGCCATTTGTAGGATCTCAGCAAGAATTAACACTGACCTGATCTAGAGGGTGGTGGAGGCACACAGACTAAGGACTTGCAGTGAGAGGAAGGAGAGAAACAAAAGATCAGTCATAAGACTTCCAGATACTGTGTTATAGTTTGGGCATAAAATAGAGAATAAGGGCCTTCCCTGGTGGCACAGCGGGTTAAAGCACAGCGCGAAGAAGCTAAAACTACTTCAGCATGAGTTTGATCCCCATTCCAGAGGTGACCCACGTGGCATAGCAGACCTCTCCTGGTCCGCCCGCTGCTCCCCTCAGCAGTGTACTTCATCAGTTGGCCTGTCCTGCTCCCCACTCTGTCTCTGGTGAAGCCTCTCACCGCCCCTGCATCTCTGGCCTGTACCCCAGTTCCATATGCATAAATAAATAAATCTTTAAAAAAAAGAATTGTAGTCCTTGCCTCATAGGGTTTATGATATATAATCATTTAATAAATATAACTTTTTTAATAGACCAATAATTTACAAAAAAAATGTTCTATTTTAAAATATTTTTGACATCATAATGTCCAGCTAGATTAATAGATTGAATTAAATAAATACCTAAATAAATAAACTGTTCACTTCTGCTAGCTTAAGAATGTGGAAGTATTTTTTAACACTGAGGTGTAAATGATAAAGAAAAATAATAGGATGACTATTTAAATTTTTAAGCTTTTCTGTGTCAGAACTTACCAAACAAAATTAAAACAACATTGGGATGTATAATCACTGCATATATGATGAAGAATTGATGTGCATAATATATAAAGAGCTTCTATCAATCAATACAGGAAAAATTAGCAAAGCGTACAATAAACAAAAGGACAAAAATACAAATTAGGTCTACCAAGAAATTCAATTTTAGAGAAAATAAATAATATTCTTTTTAAAAATAAGATGTGCTTTAATCTTTCAAATTGGTAATTATTTAAAAGAAGAAAAGGAATGTGGAAGGTATCCAAAGAGTATAAAATTCTTTTTAAATAATGGTTTATTTTTACATGTTTTTTTCCATCTCAGTGGTAATCCCTGTGGGCTTCCCATCACCACATCACCCAGGTGCCATCACCATAGCCCAGTGCACTCCCTCCCCTGCCATTTTTGATCCCCAGCCCTCCCCCAAAATTCTTTAAAAATGTACATTCTCTTCATTTGACAACTTCATTTTTTGAGAAGTATCTAAAAGACATAATCATGGCTGTATGCAGTCCTGTATAAATATTTACTGTAGTGTTTTTATTACAGTCATGTAAATTTTTTTATAATAAGGAACTGATTAATGATATATTCATATGCTGTTACACAGTACAGCTAGTCAAAATTGCATTGCAGGAAAAAAAATGACATATGGCAAATTGTTCATAGTATGTTTTGTGATAAAAGCAGGTTATAAAACATTAAGTTAAATGTAATAACATTTTGGTAAATGTCCATAGAAAAACTATGTCAACAAAGACATTCACCAAATTGTTTGTAGTAGCTATGTTTGAGAGTTGAAATTGTAGGTCATTATTTTTCCCTCTACCTGTCTGTTTTTCAAATTCTTATTCCTCTACAGACCTGAGCTTACTAAATTTTCCATATAGTACATGGGGAAAATACATATAACAAAATAAAAATTACAAAGGTACAAAAGGGTAATGATTCAGAAACAAAAGGAGTCGCTGAGCTTCTCATGAAAGGAAACCAGTTGAAATAATCATCAAAATAAAGATTTCAAAAATGCCGCAGATTAAAAAATGCAAAACCAGGCTGTCCTGATACCGATAATAAAAAAATTATCTCCACAGATAGCAGACCAGGAGGGTGAAGGTGGATTTTACAAAGACATCCTTGGAACTAGGAACTATAAATACGGTAGGTCCTGTTAGTCATCATTCAAAGGTCGGTCCATATCAGCAATCACAAAACCAGGGCTGAGGGGTAACAAGTAAGCACACTAGTACTGAAAGTATCATTAAGTGATACACGCCTCATATCTGAGGTTATGGAAGCTTTGATTGTAATCCAATGAGCTCCTTTCCCTAATTCTTTTCAATTTATTGAAATAGCACAAAGAATTGTAATGCTAATGTTTCTTAGTATTACACATCGTGAAATAATCGTGAACCGATCTTTTGAACATATAGAATCCTTACTATACCAAACAGGTAATCTATAAATGAATGCAATACTGTGTTACTTTGACATTTGAATATAAATGTAAAACACCAGAAAGCTACTTTACTGAATTCATTGCAGAAACTACTTAATTCCTTTTGAGGACACTGAGGTTTGTATTTATAAAGATAGCTTCTAAAAAATTATCAATATTTCTTAAGAAATTGATAAAATACCGACAACACTAAAAAATGTATGTGTGCATGTAAGCAATAAAAGCACTTTCTATTCTACAGCAGTCATCTGAGGGTCTCTAAGTCTTGAGTGCCCCCCAAACATATTTTTGTACAGATACTACTTAATTTTAAATAAAAATGAAAAGTTTGGAGTGCCTCCCTGGTGACACAGGGGTTAAAGCCTCAGTGCTATCAAGGTATTGCCAGCCACTGTGACACGCGTTCAATCCCCAGCCAGGGAAGTGACCCACATGGTGCAGCAGACCTTTCCTGTCTTGCCCACTGCTCCCCTCAGCAGTGTATTTCAGTAGACACCTGTCCTGCTCCCCACTCTGTCTCTAATGAATCCTGTCACCCCTTGCACCTCTGGTCTACCCCCCAGTCTTGTATGTATAAGTAAATAAAAATAAATCTTTAAAAAATAAAAAGTTTTGACATTTTGATAGTTTTCATAGAAGTAAGTCTTGTTTTTGCTTTTGTATTGTGTCAATGCCTTTATCCATTCCTTTTCATAAAAACTGAGGTAAAATCTGGCATACAACAGTTTCAGGTGAGCAATGTGATTTAATATTTGTACATATAACCAAATGGTCATCCAATAAATCTAATTAGATTTTAGTGCCTTTTTGAAATTGGAGGTATTGAATAAATCAAAGTTCACAAATTCAACTTAGTAGGCAGTGGCTAAATTATTGTCATTTCCTCTTTCAGCCTTTATTTGACCTACTAGATCAGAGTCAGGTGCTGAGCCAGAGTTCAGGGATTTAGGAACTTTTATGGGTTACCTAGGTGCATCTTGAGAGACTCTGCTTTGGGTGAAAAAGTGTTGTGGGAAAGGAGGTGGCAAAAGAACAAGGAAAAGAAAATTTCTGAAGAGAAAACAATTAGAAGAATCAAAGGTGATAAAGACAGTGTGTCACTGTGCCATCTCTTCTAGACCATTTTTCCACAGTTTGAATAAGCTAGAGAGCAGAGGTTAGAATTTGCCCAAATCAGTGGATAAAATGTTAACCAGAATGTCAGTTCTCTCAAGATGTGTGACAGGGAGCAAGGAGTATTCCTATCTGCAGCTCTGAGAAAGAAAGTAAACACTCCCAACATGCACTGAGGCACAGGGAGTGGCTCAGGTTTCTAACACTTCCCTGCATAACGAAACAGAGTAATAATTAACATCTTCTTGGGTTTAAGGATTAAGAGGAGGAGCCTGGTCCAGCCAGGAGGCCAGCACTTCTTCCCCTCCTCCCGCCCGCGGCTCCCCACCAGGACAGGTGAGTGAGCTGACTTTTCTGACAGAGTTCGCCAGCAGCCGGAAGGAGCCAACAACTATCCGGAGCAAGTTCTGCCAACAACTAAGGTAAAAAGGCTCCTCCTGCTCAGAGTGTGAATAACAGGTGAAAAATGGCAGACAGGAGAACCCCTCTAACTCCACTCCTGAGGTGAAGCTGAAGGCACATTATTAGAAAGCAGCATCCAGAGAATGTAGGTATCAGAGCAGCCTGAAACCTCAACATAATATTTACTTATTATTTATTTATTTATTTATTTATTCAGAATGTCCTTCCCTGACAAGGTAAGCATCTGGGGAGTTGGGGCAGGGTGTGTTGGGGAGGAAGGGGTGGGAGAGGGAAGGGCAAAGGGTGCATGGCCATTGAACAGCCTGACTTTCCTCAAGGGACAGCTCAAAAAATACTTAGGTGGAAGGTGCTTGCCCTCACAAAGCTGCTAGTCTTTGGCTTGACACACCTGTCATCTACCTATTCTTTAATATTTTATTTATTTATACATTCAAGAAATGGGGTACAGGCCAGAGGTGGGGGTGGGGGGTTGGGTGAGAGGATTCATCAGAGTAGAGAGCAGAGCAAGCAGACTGACTGAAGTACACTGCTGAGGGCAGCAGCAGGCAGGTCAGAAGAGGTCTGCTGTGCCACGTGGGTCACCTCCCTGGCTGGAATCCAACTCATGCTGCAGTGGCTGTGGATGGTTTCATAATGCTGTGCTTTAACCCTTTGCACCACCAGGGAGGGTCCATCTCCCTATTTTTATGGTTACAATATTATATTGAATCAGCAGATTGAATGTTCTTTTAAGCTGAAAGTTCAGTTAGTTTTTTGTTTCCATAAAATGACAGATGCCCCTCCCGCCCATATGAAAAGAATATCTGGTATAATTTAAGAAGACCTCACCAACAAAAGGATAATCATAGATGATTAAATGAGAGGTCATATGTTAAGGATACAAATTATGAAACAGGAGAGCCATGGATTCAAATCCTGGACTCTGCCAGTTACTAGTCAGCAAGTTACTTAACTACTCTAAGCCTGTTTGTCATCTATAAAACAAGTATCCTAACAGGATATCCTAATCAGAATCTGATTCCTGACTCTAATTCCTTTGATAGGAATTAAACACTTAGTAAGTGTTCTATAAATGGTGCCATCTATTAGCACGAAGATATAAACAGCCCTGCTGAAGGAGCCAAAGCAGGCAAGGTGAGATGAGCTGTGGAGACCAGACTGGGTGCAGGTGCTGGGACTGACCTGCAGAGTGGGGTCTGGAGAGGTGAGCAGATGGCAGGTGGGCAAACTTTGCCTTTCCCTCACTGAAATTACCTGAGCTCTTTTCACTTTTCAAGTAGAGTAAATGGAAACAAAGTCATTGTTATTTACAACTGAGTCCCTTTGATTTTTAACAAGTCACATTTACTCTATTAATTTCTAAAAAGAAAAATGAATTTTACAGTAGGAGAGCTGTATATAATGTCCTATTGTGAAACCCATGACATTTGAGTTTTACAAGAGAATGCCCTTGAATAATTTTGATAAAATTAGATCATGTAATCGGTAAACTTATGTTGTAGCATATATTGTAGTGTTTGAAGTGAGACAGACTTGCATTTGTATTTATTGATAAGAAACATAAAGGAACTGTAACTGTGTTTTTTTGTTTTTCACCTCTTAAGTTACAGGAGGTCACCTTATGCATTTTATTTAAAGGGTGCTTTAGTTTATATTTAATTTTACTAATGTTGATAGCTTTCAGGAAGGGAAAAACTTATAGGAGAGACTGCCAAAGTATTCCCATTGATGGCATTTTATTTTTTTACTTTATTAAACTTTTAATTAACTTAAACCAAATTTTCATGGTTTACAGTTGATCCTATTGTAATATTGTTATTGTTTTAATGGATTCTTTTTTCAAATTGCAAATTTGAAATTCTTCAATGTTTTGACTTGGATATTGATCAGAGAATTGTGTGTAGAATTTCAAAGCTAGCTGAATTATTACTGTTTCTGTTCAGGTTTAATTATATTTAGTGTAGCTTAGCTAAAAATTTATAATAGAATCCAATTTGGGATAAATTATAGTACCACTACTCCTTAAAGAGGACTCCTTAAAGAGAAAAACAAAACACTTTTATATCAGTTAGATATTGTTAATGTTTATTAAATTATTTGAGTTTGTATATCTGAGTAGTTTTATATCTAAAAGCCTAATAGCCCCAATTGAAGTTAATCAATTTAACTATATCTGAGATTAATTTATTAAACATATAACTGATTGTAAGCCTTCCTAGTCAAACCTTATATACATATTTTATTTCTAATACGTATATTTCTAATGTTATTTATGTTTTTATTCCTTTTTACTGAGGTAACATTGGCTTGCAAAACTGCATATGATTTAAGGAAATAGGTTTACAGCCCCCCAAATGGATGTCACCACACAGCACAAAGCACCCACAGCTCTTTACCAGACCAGTGGTCCCTCTGTGCCCAGTCCCAGTCTCCCCACATATGAAAAATTATTCAGTGTTTTTGGTCAATTAAAAAAGAGATTAAAAAACCAGCCGTGATTAAGAAAAATTAAATTTTCTAATTATACTCAAAATAATCCCATATGTAAATAATACCATATGTAACTTTAACTTGTAATTCAAAATTTTGAATCTGGTACTTGCTTAACTTCCTAAAATAAGACACCTCCTATAGTTTTAATTGAAGTAGAAAACTAATGCTTCAAATTTACTTATACAAATTCAATGAAGATGAAGAATTTAGAATTGTTAGAGATAGACTTCATGTAAGTTTTTAAATTTTAAAAAAATAAAGCACAAAAGTTAATCTGACTTTCAAAGATGTCAAATATAGTGAGTTCATCCCTTCTTAATGTCAACTCAGGTACCAAACTAAATACTGCTACTGCCTTCAGTTGAATATGGATATGTGTCCTTTTTAAGTGATGAAGGTGTTTGTGGTCTTAGTAGCTGAAGGAAAACTTCTCATCATTGGTCTAATAATAATAAATAAAATAAAACTCAACGAACGTACTTATTCATACGCAGCCAACACGTGAACAGGAAAAGTGAGTCATGGTCCCTATAAAGTTAACCTTAGAATTTCCTCTTGGAAACTCAAATAAAACAGAGAACCCTTGAGCTGTACCACAGTAGCAATTCTAGAAGATTCCAGCAATTGACTGCACATCAGCCTCCCAGATTGAGTGATAACATGAGGGCTTGAGTGGTGAAGTGGCATAAAACTAGCTTGCTTCTTCTGTTCCTGCCTCCCCCATCTCCCACATGGTAGTCCAGGAGAGAATATGCATGGTGTTGGCATTGTGTAAATATGTAGTAGAATATTAAACATTTGGCATTTCAAATTAGATTACACTGGCCCTTGCTGGCAGTGACAGCTCACGTAGGTCTGATCCACAACTGGTTTTAATCCTGTCTTAAATTCAAGCACTGTAGTATATTTTTATTGCATCTTAAAACAAGCATTTCCTAACTGCAGTCAGTACTACTTAGTAAAGTCGTAGTTTTATACTACAGCTCTCAAGTTTGACCATTTCAGCCAAGAAGGCACATTCTTTAGGAAAAATATGAGCCAGACGTTTCCCAGGAACACCCTTTCCTTGACTCTTTTTTCTATAGTCTCCAGGACCTCAGCTACTAAGACAACAAACACCTTCATCACTTAAAAATGAGACACATTCAATTCATCTATTGACATAGTAGTAGGTGAATAATGTATAGAATTATAGACGTTTGTCTCATTTCCTTGAAAAGATGTAATTGTATATGGCTCTGCTCTTCTATACTCCACAGTTCCAGGTCAGTACTTGGCACAGTGTTATCTTGAGTTGAATGCATATTGGTAACTTCCATTGTTTCTCTAGGCCAAAACAATAGTTTCAAGAAAAAAATACCTACCTTGCAGGTGTAATCTGTTTCATAATTGAAATCGCCACTTCTTCCAATGTAATTTTTTTTTCTTTTTGTAACTTTTATAATGTGTACATGATTTAGAAAATACATATAAAATCAAAAAGAAAATAATTTTAATTTTGTGACTTCATTTTACTTTTACTACTTCCTCTTTCTGCCCTTCTTCATCTATATATCATTATTTTATATCTGTTTTACCTACAGACTTGCACATATATATATGTACATGTATATATATATACATATACATTATATATACTTACTCTAAGAGATACAAAAATGAAATAAGCAATAATCTGTTCTAAAGGAAATGATAGTCAAGTAAAATAAAACATGTATAGAGGGAGACTGCAATAAGCAATTAGAAAATTACATATATTTTGCTATAAAAGTTTAGGAACAAAAAAATTGGGGGGAGAAGCACTGGGAAATCTAGAGACATTAGCTGCTGCATATTAGTTCATTGTAAAATTATGACACTTTTCATACACTTCAAGTACCCAGTGGCCTCAGGAATACAGGTCTAGACTATGCTTCCTGTGCCAGCATGGTAACAGACCCAGAAAAGTAACTCATGAGGTATGTGAAAGTATTGAGTAGTGAACCAAATTTTCCATTTTAAACATTTGACCATTTGTTTAATTAATCCATGCTTGGGCACACAGCCTATCTGAGCGCAATAGGGCTTGGGGTAACCTTCCCATCCTTTGGCTTCCAACTAGTGATTGGCCAGTCCAGATAAATCCCCACATAGGCAGGGTACAGAATAGGGAAAGACAACCTACCGATGTTCTCTGATGCCCCCAAATCTTAGCATTGCCTGCACACTTTCTTAGATTCTGCATTCTCAGGCTCATTCTCTGCCTGCTCAAACCCATTTTACCTTACTGGTCTCCATTCCCTGCTAAGATTCACGCTACCTACCTAGTACTTCCAGGACTGTTTAATTGTTTAGGAGTAAATTGCTGGTCTATCTAATTCCCTATCTTTTGAGCTCTATTCTATCTGGGAATGAATGAATGAAAGTCCATACTTAATTAAATCTGATCTTAATTCATAGACAATCCAAGTCAGTATGTTCTGGCCCCAGGACCACAGCCCTGTAAGATTCACCTCCACATGTACAT